TTAATTACTTCCATTAATCCAGATTACTTTTGGTAACAATTTCTTCTCTTTTAATTTCAGCTATATTACTTGCTTCTTTGATTATGCTTTGCTTTATTTATTTGATTAGTAGGGTCGAACTCCACAGGGAAACGAGTCTTTCTATTCCTAATTAACTAATATAATCTAGATTATGAAGTAACCAATATAAGTTGAATATGAAACTAAACTACGAAGAATGAGAATAAGGAGAAAACAATATATAAAAAGGATCTAAGGTATAGGTTCACCATTAAACAATATTCCAGGGTAAAACATAATAATCAATCATCAATGTATACATTAATCAGATCATAAAGGGCTTTCGCTACGTATTACAATCACACAATTAATTTATCGATGTAGACACCCATGTGTGTCTCCCCAAAACCAAACCCAGTGATGAGTACCTTTCACGTCGAATCATAATCGAATGAAGTGAAAGTGTGGAAAGTTTAGTGTGGCGAATAGTTTTAATTCCTTTTCTTCTCTCTGTTTTTGAAAACTTATTTTAAGAAAACAGTCAATCCAGTTTGGTTGGTCCATGATATGGGTCCAATAATGGTGTAGTTGGATGGGATTTGAAAAGACCTTTCCAACGATATATTATAAGCCCAATTCCGATGAATATTGAGGAAGTTATGGCCAATTTACTAAACTGGGCCCGGTTTGTGCCTTATATACGGTCCAATAATCTAGAGGAGGGCCTAATATGATTTATCATTCCTAATGCAATTAGAAATGGTTTTAGTCTTCTAAAATCTTCTAGAAGGTTCTTTTCATTCCTAATTCAATTAGCATTGATAAATTGACTTTTGTTGACTTTTCAGAGTTTTAATCAAAATCAAATAGCATTTTCGAGGGAATTATATGATTTTATCCTCCAGTACGGCAAACTTATCTGATTTTCGAAAACGCGTTAAAGTCAGGCTTGGCGCCTGACCCCAGGCTTTGGCGCCTGGAACCAGGCGCTAGCCATTGGCGCCTGGCGCCAGTGTTGGTGCCTTGCGCCAGTTAGCCAGGGTTTGCGCCAGCTCTGTTTCAGTTGCGCCAATGCTCTGTTTTGTTAATTTTATCTTTTTGGCTGATTTTCTCTATAAATAACGTATTAAAAACTCCGTTTTCATTCACCAACTCTCATCAAGATTTTCTTGATTATTCTCTCTCTCTCTCTTTTCTAAACTAGCCTTTTCTCAAATACAAAATTCCGCATTCGCAAGACTTAGAAACACCTAGCCATATTCGAAGTTACCTTCGCCCTAGACGTGAAAGGTTTAATTTCTGAGGGTTTGGTCCCAAATCTCTCTTTCAATTATTTAATTTAATTGTTGTTTATTGTTTTCCTTGAAGTTACTAACGTGTGTATTTTGTTATTAGAAAGAGGTACGAGGCATCAAAGTAAGTACTTTAATTGATTTATTGATATTATGATGTAGAAATCATGTTTAAATTGTTATTATGATATTCCTAGTATCATGTCTAGGGTAACTTTAATATTAAATATGATTGTTATGATGCTTCCTATTTTCTTCCTAATATTTATGATTATTAGTATCATGTTAGGGTTAAAGATTTGATTTTTATTGCTTAGTGACATGCTAGGGTTTGTTATTAATCTTGTTAGTATCATGTCTAGGATCTTGCAGTTATTATGCTTGAATATTAACATGAACATGATTATGATTATAATTGTTATTATGAATATTATTATTTTGATGATGATTATTATTATCATGATTATTTCAGTTATAATTTATGATGATTATGAATATTATTATTATTATTTTGATGATGATTATTTTATTTAAGATGATTATAATTTTATTGTCATGATATTGATTATTTATTATGTTTCTTGATATTTATTTTTTTTGCTTGATCACGCATTTATGCATGTTTAAAGGGAATTTGTACTTGTAATCACGCTTAATGAGATAATTAATAATCTTGTTTAGGGTTAATGTGATTATAATTCAAGTGATCGCTAATAATATATTTATGTGTGCATTAATATTCAACCAACATAGATAAACAATTTAGGGTTAATCCTATTGATTTCATGTTAATTAGAAAGCGCACATGAATACGATCAGAATAAAGTAGAGGCCTATTATTAGAGCAGGTTCAATCTCTTTTAGGTTGGATTTGTACCTTCATCCCCGAGCCCTTATTTGGTTCTAGACCTTATGGATTTGACGATCTCTTGGATCGTTAAGGAGTGTAACCTTCATCCTATGAACGGTTTACAAGTTCCTAAAACTTGTTGGCGACTCTTTTGCTCTATCTTCTTCCCTTTTGGACGCCACCGTACTTTAGTGTATGATCACAGTGGGGTTCAAGCTAGGGGTTAACGCTTGAATCTATTTCCCACAATCGATATTAAATCTCATCTCTCGAATCTCGACTTAACCATTTATAAATTAACCTGCATATTGAAACTAGACCTAAACATCAATTCTCATCTGTCGAATCTCGAATCAATATTGTTAAACTCATGCATAAAAGATCTGCGTAAATCTAGTCACAGAGCATTAAATCAATCAATAGGAAATTAATCTAGCATTCACTAGTAGAAAATAAGTAATGGCAAGCGGTTCAAACCCCCTAATGGGAAGCGGTTCTGAACCGTATGCCTTTAGGGGGCTTGCCAATTGGTCTTTAAAATGGCAAGCGGTTCGGAATCGCTTGCCAATTGTAGTGAAAGGGCAGCGGTTTTGGCGCCAAACCGCTGCCCATTAGGGGTATTAAAAATAAAAAATAAAAATTGGTTTTTTTCACTTAAATTGATACATAATCAAAAAATATATAAAAACATTAATATTTTTATTAATTAATTGTTGTAATATTACAATTTCTGATTTTAAACAGCAAAAAAAATAAATTAACAAAAAAAAATTACAATTTCTGATTTTCAACAATAAATTAACCACCCCACACCACCAGCCGCCAACCACCACACCACTAGCCACCACCCTACACCACCAACCACCAGCCACCACCACCAGCACCACGACCCCCAGCCACTTACCCACCACGACCCCCACCAACACCAGAAAAGCGGCCAGCACCACAACCCACCATCACCCGTCCACCCACAACAACCCCCACCAACACGAGAACACTTGCCAACACCACCATCCACCACAACCCCACCAACACCAGAAAAGCGGCCAGCACCACAACCCACCATCACCCGTCCACCCACAACAACCCCCACCAACACGAGAACACCTGCCAACACCATTGTCCTCCACGACCCCCACCAATAACAAATCGACCTAAACAAGCCAATTCAACCACCCATCACAATAAAATTTAAAAAAAAAAAACTGAAAAAACAAAAAAAAAGATAAAAAAAAAAGGAAATACCTTGAATACCAACAAAAAAAATCGAAATTGGCTTTAAATTTGGGCTTAATGGGTCAAATTCGACCATAAAAACTCTAGATCTAGAGTTTTTATTGTCGAATTCGACCATAAAAACCCACACGCACCACCACCGGACTACCACCGTTTAACCCACATGAATGGTTCAAAAATCCATGCTCGAATTGGGTCGAAAATCCATGCTCAAATTGGGTCGAAAATCCACCGGACTACCACTGGATTTCACTGAGAAAGGAAAGAAAGAGATGAGAGAGAGAAAAGAAGGAGATGGAGAAAGGAGAGATGAGAAGATGGCGTGACAATGGAGGTGTGAGAGGAGAGAGAAGTGAGGGAGTGAATGAGAGGAGAGAGAGCGAACTGAGAAGTGAGTTAGAATAATAGGGGTGAAAGGGGAGAGAGGCCGTGAGAGGATATGATGGGATTAGGGTTTGTGAATTGTAATCCCGCTTTTTTTTTTTTTTAAAAATGGCAAGCGGTTCGGCCTTGAACCGCTTGCCAATTTAACTAATGGTAAGCGGTTCAAGTCCAAACCGCTGGCCATTAGTTAAAAGGCAAGCGGTTCGCGCCAAAACCGCTTGCCATTTCACTTCCCTCTTTTTTTTTTTATTAATTAAATGGGAAGCGGATTTTGTAAACCGCTTGCCTATTATGGCTTCCCATCACATTTATTCTACTAGTGATTGATAATCAACAACAATAAATTACCCCTTCATATTATTTATGGATCCCCACAAACCCTAGAAATAAAACTACTCACACATAATAAAAACTAAACTTATCAAAACAATTAAATAAAGCATAGTTAAAGCAAGAATTAAGATAAAGAGAAGAATTGTATAAAGTATAGGTAAACAAATAAAAGAGCCAAAATAAAACTAAATAAAACTAAAGTATAAACTAAATTAATAAGAAGAACAAAACTAAGAAAACTAACTACTGAGTACCCCATCGTAAAAACTACTACATCCTTTTATAAGGAAAAGTAAGGATGGCAAATCCCACTTAAACTAAAACTACTACTAACTAAGATAAACTAAGAAAAGAAAATCCTGACACAACTAAAAGTCTAAAACTAAGAAATTAACTCTTCCAAGGCCTACGTACTACCTTAAAACAAGCTGGGCTTTGTTTGCATCAAGCCCGGCAGACCAATAGCAGCAACAAAAGCTCCACTAATAACAAACAATTCCACAAACTTAAACTGCACTTGCGGCATACTCGCCCGATCGGGAACTGGGCCACCCAAACAGGCTCGTTAATTTGGCAGCAAGCTAGGCTTCTTTTCAGGGAATTACAATTAGCCTTCAATTAGCTTGGTCCGTAATTCTTGCGGTAACTTTGAACCTCTTTTCTTTAACTGAGCCATTAATCACCGAATTAAATTTCTCTAACTCGGCCTTGGGCTAAAATATCCGGTCATAAAATACGATCCAACTCCAATATCTTTGTAGTGGCTCAATAAGCTTGGGAATTACCATAATTCTACAAATTCCTACAAAATAATACCAACTCTACAAAAACACTAGAAAACGTATATTAGTAATAAAAATAGCTCCGTAGAGCTCAAATAAGCACAGATATGACCGTGAGACGGAGAATAAAATATATATAAAATAGAGTGATCAATCATCTATGCTAAGTTTCGCCTGCAATTTTTCCTAACTTATATATTGACCTGAATATGCAGATGTAGTCTAGTCATGCTGTAATCTTTACATTTGTAGAAGGACATAACTTATCATAGAAAAATATATACGACTCTCTCCAACTCTCTCCAAATGTGATAATTTCCAATTTTCCACAATTTTCCATGGATTTGCTGAAGAAAATATATTCATAACACATTAACACACAAACCCTTCTAAAAAGATGGTGTCATGTCCTTAATATATAATGTATGATGCACATAACATGATACGCAAGTGAAAGCCCAAACAATGGAAACAAAGATGGTACAACACTAACTTCTGTTAATTACACCCAATCTGACTGCCTGAATTTTAATATGTTCAATATACGTCAATGTCTCACTTAGGTGAATCCGCAACGTTCTGCAAAAGACAAATAAAGGATAGACAAGTGAGGATGAAATTTTAAAAGTTCAATTTTGTCTAACTGTGAGGAGGGAGAGTAGAAGAGTATTGTATCTAGACCGAGTGTCATTGGATGGAAGAAAAATCTTTACATGACAAAACTAACAATAAGACATACTTGTATTAACCTAACCAACAATCAGAGAGCAAAAGAAAATAGGCTTCATTCACCAATTTAAGGAAACCAACCCCCATTAAGGAACTAACTCCATCGAAAATTTTTAACAGACGACTATAAAGAAACTACCCGTTCATATCTCATAAGACAAAGTATACTCATAATTATTCTCGGTAAAAAAATCAGTGAATCCCAAATCAAAGGTTACTGAATAAACAGAACAATAATACGTAGTATAATATTTCATCAACAACTAGAGAACCAAACACTTGCTAATTGGTCAAGACTCAAGAGCAAGTTCGGGCAAGACCATCTAGCACTAACATAGAAAAAAAGTGCTCCTAAAATGACACTTCACAATTGATTTAGTCAACCTGATCTCCAAATAAGTTAATGTATTCAACTAAGACTTTGCCATCCCATTTCCCTTCCAAGTTCCAAGAATCCAATCCTACTTACTTCATATTCATTTTATTTGAGAGGAGGAACCCAATTTACTTAGGTGTGCAGCTAACAGGACTTATACGAAGAACATCAGCTCTGACTGTGATAGCTAGTCTTTGAAGAAAACTTTCACCTCTGCCAGTTTATCAAATGCGGCTTTTGAAAGAGTAATAACACAAACAAGCATTCCTTCGCTCTTTTATTAAGTAAATCAGTTGGAAAACCAGATCGAAAACTCATTTTACAGGGTTAGAATAGATATGTAAAAAAAGTTCATACATATTGGACACATGATATATATCATATGACTATCTATAAGCAGTCTGTATGATCTGACTATTCAATATCCACAAAATCACTATGTAACGCACGACCTCTCTATAAAAAAATAATAATAAAAAAAAAAAAAAAAAAAAAAAAAAAAAAAAAAAAAAAAACTCAACTTACTAACAATGTCAAAATACAAATCATATTTGGAATATGAGCAAGTAAAAAATTAAAGCATATATATGATACAACACTCACCTGTTCTTCCTTCCATCTCAAATGGGCTTAGAGGGTCTTGCCAAAAGTTCGCTTTTTGGGGGCCATGATGACTACAATGTAAGCAACATAAGTAAATTCATTGGACAAATGTTTCAATTTCAAATGAGGCTTTATTTGACATGTTACAACTCCTACAAGACTCTTCCAAAAATTCTGGATGCTATTGCAAAAAATGAAGCAATGGAGTGCACTATAGTATAAAGTAATCAACATGGGTACAGAGTACTTGGGGGAAATAGCAAGTCCGCAGAATATACATCAACCAATAACTCACAAGTGCTCAAACTTCTACAGGAATATATGCCTAAACAAACCTAAACATGATTCCAGGGAAACCTTGGACGATATCCCAAGATTGTCAACAATAAGCTTAATATTAAACCAGGTAAAGTACACATAACACATAACCAAGGAGAGTATCAAGAAATCAGCACAGTAATTGAGGTGAATGAAGAATTCACATAAGTTGGATCTTAATCAATAAAAACTCACAAAATGCTCAAGATACATGGCTAAACGAAATTTTAGAAAGAGTTTTTAGCTTGGACGTTAACCCAGACAATAATCTCAAGTCTTAAACTCAACATATGGTCAGTTGAGAAAATTCTTAAATAGTAGAGCAACTTTTGGATGAACAACTTCACAAAATTACTCCTCACCCCTTCAAAGATACTCGTATGATCAAATTAAATGAATCCTGACTTAATCAAAGGAATAGAGGAAAACCAAAGCAAATTCAAACTCATTCTAAATTTGTACACCTTTTGAGAATTCCTACAAGTAGCACATGCGAAAGAAGCTTAATTTTGATTTATTTTTCTTGGTGTGTAAGAAGATAAATAGGACGAAGATGCAGATGAGATTCGATCTCAAATCATAGGACCACACAGATAAATGCATAACAGCATAAATGATTAAACTAACAATGGTTTAGGATGCTACGTACTAAAGTACTCATATTAGTATCATAATAAGTTGGTAGCATGGCAATTTTGTCTGTATATTCATAATTATTACTAGTATTTTATAAAAATAAGCCAAAGATCAGAGAGGAATAAATAAAAAAAGAAAGAATACCACCACCGCTAGAGAAACCTCGTCGTTGTATGAAGGGAGGAGCACCGGCCAGTTTAGAGGAGGAGAGGCAATTCAGCTGAGCAGCTTGACGAGTTGCTCCAAACCAAGCAGTCATTTTCGTAGCTTCTTTCACATGCAGGAAAGAGAGGTGAAAGAGATGGCACTGTGTCAAAGCATCGAGTGAAATCAATAGTTGGTAAGTTAAGAAGTGTTTAGAAAATCAAACACTTCCAGTGAGTTCTTTAACTCCTTTCATTGAGTTGGTGTCAAATCTGTCATAAAAAAAAGGGATCACTAGCTTACATAAGATAGGATAAATAGTCATACCCATTAGCCAACACGCAAGATGAGATCGGTTAGGAACCAAAATTTCATATTTGGTGGTTGTCCACCAAATATGTGCAACCTATTCGCTTTTAAGGGTGTGTTCTTTTCAACTGTAGGTCTACAACTTAACGTCAATCCCAAAAAAATGTATTCCATTCCTACTTACTCATATTTTTTCATTTAAATGTACACATACAAGGAACAAAGACCTCACAGATTATTTTGGAAGGTATAATAGTAAAACTCAACCATAAGTCCATAACTATTTAGTATGCCAAATTACCAGAAGCCAATACACATCCTGAGGCTTTAAAATATACTTCGTACATAATACATTTAATATTAGTCTTCTGTAGGCCTTTTATCTTGTCCAATATCGTGACATAACAATAAACTATCGGATCTAACACACAGAAGAAACTGTAATATTTACTATCTTACTACTGAGTGATTCGAAAGGTCTAGCTCATAGACGGGACCATATCAGGAATCCTTTTAAATGAGCTTGGCTCTAGTATATCTGAAGATATCTCATTCTTCAGCTTCATTGCATTCATCTCTTTCGGCATCTTCTCCATCTTGGTATTCTCCTTTTCTGAACTCAACATAGTGTCACTGTCAAGCTTCTGATTCTTCTGGTTGTTGCACACTTTCAAGGAGCTTCGGTCTTTCAAGTCTTCTTTCACTGTTTTATGCAACTGCAGGAGACCTGGATACACCCAGTGTCACAAAGGGATGAAATGAAGGTCACAGAGACGAAACATGAGAATAGTGTTACCAACTTACCACAATAACTAAACAAATGGAACGAGGGGAATAAAGAGATGACAAGGTCTGTGTTTGATTGGGTCTTTGGGAGGATAATCATTTTCCATAAAACCTTGACTTTATTCCAATTTCCTTTAATTTATTTGGTTTGTTAAGGGGTACAATAACAGAATTTGAACTTGATTTTCCAAACGATAAAATATATTTCTACTTTTTTAAGAAAGAATCTTCCATCTAATAAAATTCAAGTAAACAAAATAAAGGATTGCCTTGTTTTCTTATCTCTCAACCTCCTTCCCTCTCCTGTCTCTTCCCCCGCAGCCGCCCCACACACAAGCACGCACATGCAAACGCACGCGCACACACATTAATTTATACTATGGAGCAATCAATAAGGAAACAACAAGGTCAGGCCAAAGATGGTAGCAACACTTATTAAAAATTTTCTTATGCATACTAAAACCAGTAGCAAGACAAGATTTGAATTTAGTTTACCAGTTGCCAGTAATAACAGAAAAATCTTATGTTCCATCAACTGTGCACTCACAAATATAAATACCATTAAAATTTATCAAAATACAAGACCATTGGAATATCTTGATCACTAATAAAAGAAAAGCTCACCATAAAAAATTGTGAACCCTCAAAGAGTTTTAAGCTTTATCAAAGAAACTTTACTTCATAGAAAGCTGCAAGAAATTTTTATTCTACGATTCAGCAAAAAAAAAAACTAAAAAATTGTTTTAAACTACCTAAGATCCTCAAAAATTGGAAGTTTGCAACCTGATAATATTATGATTCAATGGCTTGCGTTTCTCATTAATCAAGGTCAATATTTATACAAGAGTTCCCTTGAGCTCCAAGGAAGATAAACTTCCAGTACTAATTACTAAGCATTGTGGACTACAATTTCCAGCATCGATTTCAATAATTCTTACTAAATTTCCAGAAAATCATGATCAGATTGCTGATAAACCAAACACAATTACTACACAAGAATTAGTAGATTATACTCTTTCAGAATTTTACATCATAGTATTCATGAAAACAATGTTACACCTATTAATTAACCTAACAAATAACACAATTTATACTTAAATCACAAAAAATTCTAAAATTTGGGAAAAATAAATCACTTTTTTTCCTTTTGTTGACAAATTAACAGAAAAATCGACTGCATATTTTCCAATGCTTTCCAGAAACCAGCCTATTTTTCGGCGACCGGACACGTGGTTCTGCTTCAGTTCTCCGTGTTTCAAAACGGTAGCCATAATTTAACACGGTTCACTTTGCTCGAAAAGTTTCGAAGTGGGGAGTTTCCGAGTGGAGCTTTAGGAAGCTGAAGATAAAATATACATCTGCAAAATTGCAAACTTTTGGGATGGAAGAGGGCAAATGTTAATACGACGCCGTTCTCCTTACAATATCTAGTCCATCCAAATTTTGACCCGAAATCCGTTTTGACTTTTGAATACTTTGTATTATTCTCTCCGTCTCAATTTATAGTTCATATTTGTATTTTAATGGTATTTAGAAATAGAAGTAGATCGTGGATGGAAAACATTAAAAAAAAAAAGTTAAAAGTATAATTATAGACAAAGTGAAAAACAGTACGAAGCAAGTTGAAAATTCAAGGTAATTTAGGAAGTTAAGTGAACAAAGTTTTAAAAAAATAAGGTTATAATGATCTTTACATACTCTCCTAAAATAAAAATAGGAACAACATTTTGGGACTCCAAAATAGAAAAATAAGAATTATAAAGTGGGATGAAGGGAGTATTATTTGTTAATATATTCCTCCGAACGCAAACACTATTCTTTGGAGTACTCCACTTTTACTAGATAAGTAGATTTACTAATTTATACCACTTTTACTAGATAAGTAGACTTACTAATTCATACCACCTTAATTTTTTTAGTTGATATGTTTTTACTTTAACATTATTTATCTTTTTTTTTATCGTATTATGAATAATGGTCGAATTTATGAATGGACAAATGAGACTAAAAAGTCGTGTCAACAAAAAAATAACGAAAGAAGTTTTAAGGAAAAATATTAGGGGTGAGCATGGGACGGGTACCCGTACCGTTAGTACTAACGGTTCGAAAACCCGATAACCAATATCACTAAAAGTGATATCTACAAAACGAACCGATAGAGATGATCATTGGGGGCGGGCCGGATTCGAGCCAGGCCAAAGCTAAAAATTAAGCCCACTTTTCGGGTCGGGCCAAGTTTCGAGACGAAATTTTTGTGCCCAACCCCGTCCAAAATGGTCGGGCCTTGTGGGCTTTTCGGGCCATTTTTGGATCGGGCCTAAAAAATCAACTAAATATGCCTAAAAACGCATTTCTAAACCAGCCCAAAAAAATATAATTTCGGGCCAAGCCCGACCCTATTTTGGGCCAAAAAATTCTGCCCAAAACCCGCCCAAAATCGGACCGGGCTAACTTTGATCACCTATACGAACCGATAAGTTTGGGTGCCCGGATTTTCGGATCGGTTATCAGGTACCCAATTAGGTATCCAATAGTGATAATTTAACTTAATAAATTGTAATTATGATTTTTTAACACTAATTAACAATAATATCACATGATCTTGACCAAATTATTAATAATATTATAATAATTGACATTATATAGTAATTATGAAGTAAAGTAAGAATTTAAATATTGAAAAATAGATTTAAGTAGGAAAAAAAATTGCTTATCGGATCAAAACGGGTGACCATTAATTTTAAAATGATACCCAAAAACCATGCCCGATAACAAATTATCAGAACGGGTATCCGAACCGTTATGGTTATCGGATCGGGTACCCTAATTTTCAGAACGGTAACGGAACGAGTTTTCGGGTTTTCAGTTTTTCGGGTAATTTTATTCAGCCCTAAAGAAATACTTATGTAGGATGTTATTAAATTCATTTTTATCATTTTTATCATTTTTTTTGTTAATAATAGTACAGTAACATTTTCTCAGTTTGGTTTCAAAGAATATTTTCTCAGTTTTTTTAAGAGAAAATTTATCTAGCTAAAAAGAAAAGTGAAACTAATTATTCATTTATTTTTTCAAGTAACGCATTGACAACGTGTAATTTTAAACATGTACTTGTAATAAGAAGATTGAGAACAGAGGAAGATCTAATCGTTCTTCCTATATTTTGCTGACTTGCTCCCTCCATTCTTGAGTTTCCTCCATTAAAACGCACTCTAAATTCTCCATTAAAGTGGCTTCCGAGCTTTCTCTCCACCATTGAAACAACTTTTGAGGTAAGAATTTTTTTCTTTTGATTAATCATCGAATTTTCAATTCATAATCTAGGATTTAGTTCCGCACTATCGTTAATTTGATTTAGTATATTTTTCGTTTAAGGGCATGCTTAGATTGGGGGTAATACTTTAAGGGGATAATAAAAGTCAAACTAAGCAAAATGAATGTGAAAATAGGGAAGAAGGAGATAGTGATGGTGTGATTGTACAAAAATTATGTAGTGATAGTAGTATGAGGTGAAAGAAGAGGAATCAATACCCTCATTTTGGGAGTAATAGTTACACTAAGGGGAGGATGGGTAAACACCATGTCTTCTACCACAACTACCTTATTAATCCCTCCATCTCTCTCTTATCCTCATGGCACAACTACCTTATTTCATTTGTAAACACCATGTCTTCTACCACAACACCTCTAATTACTTTTGTTTTTTCCAGTTTGACTTTTATTACCCCTTAATGTACTACCCCCAATCCAAGCATGCCCTAAATTGTAATACATAATAATTATAATTTTTATTCCACAATAGTGAATAAAACCATTAATTTATATGAACATTAAGTGAAAAAATACAAACATTAAGTGAATTTAACAATGAGCATTAGCAGTTTCAATGATTATAAATTTGAACGAAAAGACAAAAAACATATGAATATGTGAATAATGAATCTCGCATAATAAAATGGATCTCACATATTATAAACATAAGATTGAATATATACAAGCAACAAAATTTTAATTTACAAGAAATGAATAATTTTTTTTTGACAAGATACAAGAAATGAACATATGAACAAATAATATGACATGTATATAAGTACTTGTTATTTGGACTTCTATCATTATCATCTTCAACATGTATAGCTAAAATCCTTCAATATTTTGAGATCTAAAATTGGACTTTTAACACCTTTCTTGCTTTTGATTTTGAAAATTTTAGAAAATGGGTTGTTAAATCAATTTAGGGTATTTCATCAAAAAATCATTTTCATAAAATAAAATCAACAATGTAATAATGAATTATTCACTTATAACAAAATTTATCCGTACGTCATGACTTCATCTATATTCTGTAATACTTGTTTTCTAGGTTGCACAAGAACGGGTACTGACACAGACATGGGTACGAAACGAATACAGAAAAATGTCTATTTCAAAATAAGGGACACGGGTACGGGATGTTAAAATTGAAAACTAGATATTTTAAAAAAAGAATTTGACCATATATTTTTCATTCTACCCTCTTATATTATTAGATCATATTGTACCATATTAACGATGAGCTATATATGAAGGAACTTATATTATTTAACCATTACCTTAATTAGCTTACTTTACTTATATTTTCTTACTAGGTTAAGTCCCGTGCCATGCACGTTCATAATTAAATTTTACAATAAATAAATAATAAATATGGTGTTAATTCAATGATAATTTATCCAAAAAAATTATTTGTAACAAAATAACTTAAATTAAATGTAAAGATTATTGAATTGGATTGTATAAAAAAAATATAGTAATAGAAACTTAGACGATATAAGGTTTTATATAAGAAAATTAAATTATTTGCTTAGGTAATTAGGTTAGTATCCATATATGAACACATATACATTTGTCCTTAAATTTTTGACATAGTTTGATCGGCATAATATGAAAACTTATTTGAATTCATTTTACTTTAGGATAATTAGTATTCCGTAATCAAATTTTTAAATATATTTTTAGTGAGTAGTAGGTTTTTTTAAAATAAAATAAAATAATCACATAAATGTTTAGAACAATTAGATTTAATTTTTCAATATATGTTATGTACGAAGTATACTATAACAAAATTATTTTGTTCTTATAAAAGTTATGTATAGTTTTAAGATTGGTACTCTGTACAAAGTATGCTCCAAAATGATTTTTCTTTAAAATTGATATTGATAAAAATATAATAATCTTGGAAAACAATATATTTTAATACCTTATTTTTTTATAATTTTAATCTTTGTTAGTATTTTTGTAATTAAAAGTTTCCTAGTATATATAGAATATGTGTAAAAAAATTTAATTGAGTAATATTGGATTAAATGTGTTATCAAAATGAAAATAATTATTATTATAGGTTATAAAATATATAGATGTCATTAAAATATGGCAAAAAAATTAAAAAGGAAAGGGAATAAAAAGGCGGGAAAATTTTTAACCAGGAAATGACAAGTGTCATTCCTGGTTTCGCCTTAAGTATATGTTTATTGATTGATTAAAAAAAATTAAATAGTCCATATCATTGTAGGATACGGTCCGAGACGTATCCTCGTGTGTCTCACGGGTGTCGGTGTCTGACACGGACACGACAGTTAGATGAAGTGTCCATGTATCGTAGCTTGTTTTTTGTTGTAATTTTCTACACAAAAAAAAATCATGTACAAAATTTATTTTCGACACACACACCACAAACAAAACAAAACAAAACAAAAAAAAAAAAAAAAAACTAAAAAAAAACTGAAAATGCAAACAATGTTCAAATGTAAACTATGTAAATCTTCATGTAAATTTACCTCTTTTTCGGAGAATCCGGTTGATTTTTGAGTAATTCTTGAATATCCATGATGATTTTTAATGTTTTAGTGAGAGAAAATTATAAAGAGGAGAGAGAATGTGAAGTGTGTAAAAAAAGTGAATAAGTTCGGAGAAATTGGGGCTTTAATTATAATCAGTTTTTTTTTTTAATTTTGTTTTATTTTATTTTATGTTGGTCTAGGTAGGGGTGTTCAAAAATCGGTCCAGACCGAAAAAATGGACCGGACCAAACCCGGACCATTCGGTCCGATCTTCGAGTCTTGAAATTCATTTTTCCAATCTGCGATCCGATCAAGTCCAAAACCCTATAAAAATCAGTTTCGGACCGGACCAATTTTTTTTTATTAAAATTATGCATAAAACCTTAAATAATGGTTAAAATTATCCTTAATATGTTTAGAAAACTTTAACTTATAAGTTTTTTGTACTAAACATACAAAAAAAGACGTAAAAATGACGTTATGATATAATTTTTCCTTTACTTTTTTTTGTGTTTTCCTTAACTTTATTAAAAATTTAGTATTTTTTTTAAAAAAATTCTTAAATCGATCCAAAGCGGTCCAGTCGGGGTTTTGGACCGATTCTTTCGGTCTAGTCCGGGTTCGGTCCTAGCTTAATTGGTCCGGTTTTCAGTTCTTAAAATTCTAATTTTTGGTCTTCGGTCTGGTCGTAGACCAATGAACAGCCCTAGGTCTAGGTCTCACTTTTTACGAAGGCTGATGTGCGTCATGGGCCCGGAGAGTCTTTTCTGTATATCGGGTGTACAAAAAATTTAATGAACAAATTACCCGAATGTACGGTACACCCAGATGTATATAACAAAAATTCTAGGTGGGCTCTGTTATGGCTAAGCAGGGTGCAGCTTAGACCTAGTGTGGGCTAGACCATGTGAACTCAGCACAAGATATGGTCCAATACTACTTTGCCAATCAAATTCTCCTTAATTCAACAGCGGTGATCTGGGCAAGAGAACGAACAAGGAGAAAAAAAAAGTATCATTTGAAAAGGCTGCGAATTTTTTTGAAGATAATTTCTGCATTTGACCATTGGTGAGCTTGAATTTCTTTATTTATATGCTCAATTTCAAATTATTACTTTTATTTTTGAAAAAAAAAATGGGAACTTTTGTTTTTCTTATATATGTTATTCATGGGTTAATCAGATTGTTATCTAGTGTTGAATTACTGATTTGAACTCAAATTTATGAACCCAGTTCGATTATAAAGTGAAAGATTGAAGAAATTTGAGATATTTGCGGTTATAATTGGTTTACATACTTTGAAATTTAGGTTTAAAGAATCTTGATTTGGGTGAATTGTATTTATGATCAGGTTAGAGTTTATAATTATTTTTTATAAATCATGTAATTGTTAGATTGCTGAGGAGTTTATATTGTGAAATGTGATCTAGAGAGTTCTAAGATTTGCCATTGTGATTGATTTAAAATAATATTGTATATGTCTGGAAATAAATTCTTACATACGAAGTATGCTGTGTTTGGATTGTTTGTATTCGATTGTTCGAGGTTGGTTTTAGTTTATGATTGGATTTCTTAATGTGCTGCTACATGGGTCAAGTGATGAGGAGAGCTTAAGAATGAATTAATTAATATAAAGAGTCTAGCATTGAAATTTTGTCGAAGTTTCAATTGTGTGACAACTAATTACTAATGTAGGAATTAAGTGACGGAGTAATTAAATGGTTTGCCTTTTTGAAAAAGAGCTTGGTTATGCAATAGTTCGCGTGATTTTGCGAATTTAGTAGGATATAAAATTTCTTAAAAATTATATAGCTTGGAGAGTCTGAATTTAGGTGTTAATCTTTACATGAATTTGAAGTTAAATGCATGAGGTATGATAAGTACATTGGTTCGCAGTTAATGGAAGCTTTGTGCTTTATTAAAACAATTATGCTAAGCTTATGTGTTAAGTAGAAGGTTAGCAGGAGATGAAGTCTGGTGGGTTCTTTTGTTTACTAGGTGGAAGTCTGCACTTTGTATTCCGAAATGTTGTGTCCTGCCTTAGATGGAGTAGATGATATCAGACCTGTCAAGAAGTAGTGCAACTGCTAGCCTTATGTCTTCAAGACTTCAAGTGCGGGAAACTAAGTTAGAAATTTACTCTAGGAAAATTTAAAGGAATATACTTCATATGATATAATAGGAGTGATTTTGCTGTTAAAATTTTTTTAGTTACCCTAAAACCTTAAGTAGTCCACTTGGCACTTTAATGTTGGACTAAAACCATGCAAAGCTTTTCATAAGATAGCTGAATGACCTGAACTTAAAACTGGAACAAGTATTCATGAATGCGAGATCAGTGAAGTCTAAGAAACATGGCATATTACTATGGCGTACTTAGCCATCTATTTGTATATTCATTTGTGTTATATAATACATACTACCTCCGTTTTTTATTAGTTGACACGTTTTGAGTTTAACACTATTCATACACCTCCCTTTGACCGTGATTTATATGTAAGGAAAAAAATTGTCAAGTGGGATCTTGTTAGATTCGTCACAATGTATATTTTCATAATATCAACTTTTTATAATTTTTTTCTTATCGTTAATTAAAGATATTAAAGATTTAATTTGTGCATTTGCAAACGTGTCTAAAGAAATATGTCAACTAAAAAGAAACGGAGGAAATAGTATATATTTTCTGTTCACTCTAGGCCAATCATTTGATGATTAAAAAAGGTTGTGAATAGATGGTTAGGTTACTTTTAGAGTCGCATCTTATGGAAGCTGTGTTGTCAAGGCAAAATTAGTTGATTTTCAAAGTATAGAGCATTTTGGGTACAGCACAGTTAAAAAGTTCTGGAATCTCTAAACAGAGTAGGTCATCGAATTATTGATTATAATTGCTGAAGTTTTGATAGATTATAACCAGCGATCTTGTTGTTACAATTTCTTTTCGTGCAATTTAGATTGATAATCTTCATTGTGAAGATCATTTTGCGATTCATCATAGTTTATAAGTTCAATTGATCTATAGTATTAGACTCTGTGTAATGTAATTGTCGTGTATATTCATATCCTCGTTTCCGAAGGTTGCCGAAAAACATATATTTCTTCCATCATTAACAATGTAGGAGACTAGGAGCTTTCCGAAGCTTGTTGAGGTTTTGCGTGTTATCAAAGTTTTGGATATTTATTCAATTTGGAATTATTTCTTATTGATCTCTGATGTATGATTAGTAGTTTAGTATTATTGTATCTTTGTCGATTTTAATCTTATAATTGCAAGCAAGGATAGGAAATGGGTCGAGGTTGGAGAAATCCTCATTTGATTAGTGTAGTATGATTAAGGACATAATTGTTTTTGCTTGATTGCCAAACATTGCCGAGGTTGGTCGGTTCGTAATTTGTTTATTTTGTTTTATATATGTGTGTGTGTGGAAGGTAGGAATCTTGGTATGGGGATCAGCAAAACTGAGATAAATCTGAGAAGGTTAATTGCTGCTGCACCACAACAGCAAAATCAGGCGAAATTAGCTCATGTATGTAATTCATGATGTTGTGAATAATTTAAGTTTGTGTGCATCTAGTTTTTTCAATCATACGCCTATTCAACATGTTTGTAGCTCATGTGCTTTTCAGCTGATTGGATTTTAAACCTGTAATTATGCAGTATGTTGCTACACTGCGCGAATTGTTGGAACATCTAACTGAAGAGACCACTCCAGAAGGCTTGCCCAGGTCAGCTTATACATTTGTGGTCTTTAGTGGCCTTTTTTATGGAATGTTTAAAAATTTTGTGGTAAACAAAGAGATCAACTGCTAATAGTTGTGAACTTGAAACCAAAGCTCTAGTGAAAAACTACCTTTCTCTCTCTTCTTATTGTTATAAATAGTGGAGATATTCTCTTGCTCCATAAAGTTGGAGAAATGGGTTAGAGGCAGAAAGGGTGGGATTTGGGTAAATGGGGATAAGCTTCCTCAGCGATGCATGGTAGAAGCAGATGCAATAACCTTAGCAGTAGAAGCAGAAGTAGAACTAGTAAGAGATTAGAGTTTGGATGTTAGAGTTGCAATTTTACCTTGCTGAATTATTGAAATCATCTACTTTGTTGAGAAAAAAAAAAACCTATTCTTACACTATGTTTGAATAACTATAGTGAAAGGAAAGGGAGGGGAAGGAAAAAGAGGGAAGGGAGAAGGAGAGCTTCCATTTTCCTTTCAAATCTCTCCAACAATGGAGGGATTTGATTCATTAAAAAGTGGAAGGAAAATGGATCCTTCCAATTCCCTCCCCTTCCCTCCTTGTATTAGATATCCAAACAAGGGAGGATGCATTCCTTCTTTTCTCTCCTCTTCCTTTCCGTTCATTTCCCTCTATCCAAACATAGCATTAATGTCTTTTTTGCATAATGTTGTAGACTGCGAGTGAAAATTGGGACTAGTTTCTTGGTTAGGATAGTGTAATGATATAATCTGTTAATTTATGAGTATAATAGTCTAGCTATCAAGCCGTTTGATGACTATTGTTAATTTATGATATAATCTGTTAGTTTATGAGTTTATAATAATCTGTTAATTTATGAGTATAAAAGTGTAATGATATATTGTGATTTGTTGTGTTAGATACTTTGCTCTATCATCAACATAACTAAAATCCATTACTTTTTTCAAACTCTTTGTTACTGTATGGGTTTACCAAACATAAATTTAATCCTGCTCCTGGGTTTTACCTTGTAGGGTCTCCAAAGCTAAAGTAAATGATTACTCTGAGAAGATTGAATCTATTGCAGCCAAATTAACTTCACCTATGGTATGTTTTGACGCCTCTTTATGTGTACTAATATTTTTCTATGCTTAATCTTAGCTGTTGTGGCTCTGCAATATATTGCTTTTTACAATGCATAATCACTTATAATACTTGTGATAGCAAAATGTAAGCTTGTATGTCTGCTGGTGTCTGTGTCTGTTCATTGATTATGTATTTTTTGTATGATTTTGATTGAGGAGGTTGCTAGTGATTTATTAGTTACACATAGTTGAGTTTCTCGAGTTGTTCTAGGATTGATTTTAAAATATTATTTTTATTTTGTTGTTGAAACCAAAAATTTGCATTATGCAGAGACTAAGTTGTTTCAGTAACAAACTTCAGAAGTATCATCTTTTAAATAGGGCACAAAAGGAAGAAGTGGCCAGACCCTCTGAATATAGAGATAACTGTTCTATTGCTGTTCATCTGGTTTTTTTCCTTGCAGATGAAATTAGTGAACATGATAATCAGTACTACTGTATTTTTTCTTTTTCTCTCTTTCCCTCTCTTTTTTTTTATATATAAAGTTTAAAATCATGAGAGCTTATTTTTGTTGAATATATGATTTCAATAGTTCCAAAGGGAAAACGTTTGCTGCTTTTGATCAACTTTGGTGTGGAAGGAGGTTTCATTAATGACTATATGGTACATGACTAATGCAGGAAATCTTTGAAGAGACTTCGACTGAGGCAAGCCCTCAAATAGCTGAAGAACTTAAAGTTGCCTCCCCACCAGGACTTAGGAAGAGACCAGTGTATGTAAACATTACAGTCTTATACTCTTATTCATGGAGTTATTTTATGGAAAATTTTGAAAATGAGTTGGAAGGTTTTTTGCAAGTGTAGGCCATCCTCATTTGTTGAAGACAAGTCGCACGATAATGTTGGACCTGATTCCTCACCAATAGTTAAATTAGATGCTGCTGCCCACTCACATATAGACAAGCACAGGTAATTTTATTCTGAGCATTGTTTTGTAAATGTGGTAAATAACTCCGAGTTTATCACTATTCACTTGAAAGAGTAAACTGAGTAGTCTTCTTGATACACATCTACTGTCCCTACGGAGTGTTTTGAAAAAGGATATGAACTATACACGTCTTCCAATGTTAATTTCAGGAGCAAGAGGTCAACAGGATTATAACTTGAAAGTTGAAAGATCAAGAAGCTCAGTTTACTGGAAGCAGAATATAAAGAATTGTCTTGTATAAATTTTGTGGATTCTTTTTGAGAAAATTGTTTCCGACCCCATGTTTTATTTGATGAAGTTGTCTTCAGCACCTTTTTTTTTGCATATTTATACAAATGTCTACTTTATCCCAATTTGCTGTAAAAGATTAAATCCTTCAAGCCTTTTTGAGGGAACATGGTTAAAGATAAATTTTCAGAATTGTAGTATCATGTTATTGATTCTAGGTGAGCATATGCTTAGTCAGCTTTCCTCTGTAAAAAATTGTGTAATTAACTTTCATTTCTTTGTACTACAGAAAGCTTCAAGAAGACTTGACTGATGAGATGGTGGGAATGGCACGACAACTGAAAGAGAGCAGTCTCTTAATGAGTCAGTCAGTGCAAAATGCTGAGAAGGTCAGTTTGAATTCAAGTTATATATTTATGCCTTGATGAGTTTTTTATGCATTTCTAGACTCTCTACTTCATGAAAGGTTGTCCAATTGCCCCTTTCACTTGCTACAACTAAAAAAACCAAAAACTTTCTATGACTTAGAAAACTAAAAAAAGAACATGAAACATTAGAAGATTGTGTGAATAAGGTATAATTTAAGTACAGGACCACTGCATCCTATATAAAATCAAAGGCCAGTTCACTAAGTAACCTTTTTTTTCAATTGCATTTAATTGCGTTTGTATTAGAGTTATAAGTGTAATTTAGGATGGGGCACTATATATAGTCTTGCAGCTGTATCTTGAAAATATTCTCACTATCTTTCACACTCCTGAGAGTTTTAGTGGAAATTAGTACTGAGAAGAAGTTTTTAGATGTAAATTTCTATCTATATGCTATCTTTTGCGGCAAAAGATTCCATGTCTTCGGTGCAAAAACACATTTCTTGCTTGCTTTAGCGGAAAATTAAATTTTCTGCTTTTGACCTTCTCCTCTGTCAACTAGTCAATTGTTTTAAATGCTATGCTCGTCGCTTCTCACCTTTCTGGTCTAGTCTAGCATCTTATATTTGTTTGTTTCCAACTTAGCTCACAATATTGTGGATATATTTTGGGGGGTTAATTCTGTTTTTCCATCATGGTTTTGTTGATATAGATTCTTGATTCAACCGAGAAGGCAGTTGAGCATAGCTTGGCAAGCACTAGTCACGCCAATGTAAGGGCAATGAGTGTTTTTTCACAGAGCTCAAAGACTTCATGTTTTACATGGCTTATTATGTTGTTTATGCTAATAGTATTTATGATGGTAGTTTTCCTTATTCGTATTACTTGAGTTTTTTTTTTTTTTTTTTTTTTTTTTTGGGATCAAAAAAGGAAGGCGATAAGAGACACTGTAAACATACTTCTAATTAGGGTGACTGTTGGATAGAGTTTTTGTACATGTAATGTAATTTGTAAGATCCCTATCTTAGGGATAACCACTTCTATTGATATGATTGACTTTCTGTTACATGATATTATTTCATAAATGAATACTAACTATTCTTCTTTAACTTCTTCCTTGAGTCCCTTCTCCATATTCTATGTTATATCATAAAACCATTTGGTAATTGGTAATTGGTAATTGGTCATTGGTGTACCTTCTTCGTCTTGTACATCAAACTTTTGTTCCCTATTATCTATATTATAGAACAATTAAAATTGAACTCTTATATAATCTTCGATATTAATTTAGGTGACACCTGAATACTACATCAGGTTAGCCATTTGGAGAGACCTCAAATTGAACAAAGCATAGGACTGACTGACTGATTGACGGATGAGATATCATTTACGATGTGTGACACTAAGGAAGTGCTCAGCTAGAACGTGGACGTCTGCTTAGTTTCAATTAGATCTGCTCTGATGTGTATCTGATGTCTTGTCCTGGAAAAAAAAAACTAATTACTCAATTTGAATTACCTGATCCAATTAAGACGGAATTGTTTATGAGCTTACATGACTGACCGGATCAAAGCTTACTAGACTTGAAAATAAACGTAACTAAATTAAAGTTTTTTAAATTTATAATAATGATATTGACATAAAATTCAAAATATGAATCGAAACCAAATACAACTGAAATGACTTGAAATCGAAACCAGACAATTATGCAGTTGGTCACAAAAATTGCATCTACCTCTGTTTTGCCCTGTCCAATTTTATTCAGATCTAACTTCTGGCAAATAGGCAACAGATGATCAAGGGCAATATGTGTCTGATGAATGGCTATATGGCTATAAAGAATTAATGAAGAAAAAATGTCATTTAACCAAAATCGGATTCCATTTCCAAGTTTTCATTTTCTCTGCTCTCAAATACTCTTGCAGTTCTGCACCACTAACAGAAGACAATGCTTCTTTTTCATCATGATCTTCATCCCAAAGTATCTATAGATTTTACTGCTTTCAGGACATTAAATTTGGATGCTGTCATGATCGCGATAAATTATACATGAGCGGTCCCTATATTGAATTCTCCTTGATTATTATTGCTACATACTCAAGAAAACGGAATTAATTGGTGTAAATGTGAAAAAAAAAAAAAAAAAAAAAAAAAACTACATATGTAATTGAAATAAATAATATTCATCTTATAAGGATATAAAATGTCTGGAAAAAGTTGTTGCTATAGAAGGACAAATCTCTATTTTTCCAACACCTTCCATACAGTCTACAATTCGACAAATTCCGAAAGCTGTAAACTCATTGTGGCTCCTATGATGGAAATGTGTTGTACTGTACACCATATTTGACTGCTATTGGGGCATTTCCTGAGTTTAGTATGGCTAAACTAGGCTATCTGAATTTTCAGAAACAGCTAGGTTATTTAAACATGCCTTAAGAGGTTTGTAGCTAAAGAAATAAAATCTTTTAGGGAAATTCTACATCATACCCCTGAGCTATTGACTATTCCACGTTGTACCCCTCCCTTTAAAATGTTCCACGCTGTAACCTCATGGTCCCAAAAGTGATTAAGCTGTACCCTGCCGTTATCCCTCCGTTACATGTTGTCGTTAGTGAGACCCACTTTACACCTATTTATTTTTTTTCTCGATTTTCGTGCTAAAAAATGTCCAATTAAAGGTTTTAGCGGTCATTTTAGGTCTAAAGGATCCAAATTGAGCTCGGATTTTGCAAAAAGTAACGTAAAAGCCCCGTTTTATGAATTCTAAATTTAACTATAAGAATTCAAATTCACAAAACGAGGCTTTTACGTTTTTTTTTTTTTTTGCAAAATCAAAGCTCAATTTGGACTCCCTTTAGGGCTAAAATGATCCCTAAAACATATAATGGGACATTTTTTAGCACGAAAATTGAGAAAAAAATTAAATAGGTGTAAAGTGGGCTCCACTAACGGCAACATGTAACGGAAGGATAACGGTAGGGGTACAACTTAATCACTTTTGGAACCTTGAGGTTACAGCGTGGAACTTTTCAAAGGGAGGGGCACAACGTGGAATAGTCAATACCTCAAGGGTATTATGTAGAATGTCCTAGAGTGACCATAAAATCTAGATGGTGGTAGTATATGCTAAAGAAAATATCAAATTTCTAACCTCTTATTGGAGAAAGAATACAGCATTGCTCGTCTTGCATGCCTCACGGCAGAACATCACTACAAAATTAAAAAAAAAAAAAAAAAAAAGAGTTCAGAGTTTCGACGTCTGTCAGAGAACATCACCAGTGAATTGGAAAGGAAAAAGACGAGTGGATGAAACAAAGAAATATAGAGAAGTAACCTTAACAAAGTAAGACAGGAGTTGATGCCTGCAGTCTCTGAACTATTATTCACTTTTTGTCTTAGAAAATTTGTTTTCCAGTTCATTGAGTCTCCTGGGAGACCCAAGTTCTGCAATATGCAAAACAGAATTTTCTTAGCTTGGATATAAATTAAGAAAGTATGTAAGTTGGAAAACTAAAGCACCTTCAAAGATATCAAAGCTGGATGCGCCTGCCACACTCAACTTGGTGAATGGCAGAAGGGACTTCTTAATAAGAGGATTATCCCATTCGAGAGATTCCCACCACTCTTGATCTGCTTTTATCTGTTGAAGAAAAAGCGGTACCAGTCCTTCCCCATTGTTGTGTAGGGGTACGGAGAGAGGTAGTCTCTTCACTATTGGACAATTTGTAACATTGATATGTTCAATGGAACCACAAGTTGGTATGATTCCATGAAAAAAACTTGTATGACATGGTAGATCATCCAACTCTAACGCCCTTAAGTAGGGGAGTTCATAGGCGCCATTACTCTCTTGACCCTGAGAGTTGGGTGATGTAATAATCTCCTCTAAAATGTTGCAAGCTGCTACTTTAACTTCTCTCAAGTTTCTCAACTGCTATTGTGTTAAACTGCTCTTGAATATCTGCTTGATTTTTGCACAATATTCAACAGTAATTTGCTCAACAGAACACTTTCCTAGCATCCCTCCATGACAGATGCCTGTCAACTTTGGCAGCTGCCTCAAGTGCAGAGCTCTAAAGTTGGGAAGCCAGATTAAATCACCATCTTTATCGACATATCCTTCAAAATCTATCTTTTCTCGACCACCATCATCATGGACTGCAATAACCATTTCTAATTCTTCGCATCCTTCGACCTCCAGCTCCTGGAGGTTATCAAGGCCACCTTTTAACAGATTTGATGTGAATCTCCTTTATATTGGGACAATATTTTATCACCAATATCTTAAGATTGGAAAAGGCACCTCGTTCGATAGCAACTCCTCCTTTTACTAGACCCCTGAAATCATGCAGATCATTGAGAATTAACTCCTGAAGGCATTGAAGCAATAAAACAACAGCAGCATTGAACTGGTTTTTTTCTTGTGTAGCTTCAACGCATGATACTAGTGACCATATCACTTCTATCACTTTGCAACGCCTAATGATAATTCTTTTCAATGCTGTTAAACGAATTAATGATGGAAGGGCACCAACCAAGCTTCTTGCATCAAATGCAGAGTTATGAATCTGTAGATCTTGAGAGTTCTCTGGAGGAACAAATAGATCCCCTTCGCTTCCTCCTTTAAGACTTCCGCTGCATATGATCACCATTCGTTATGCGTCTATGCTATGATCAACCCTTTTGTATTGCCCTGCTCCAATGACAAACTCGTAGTACTTCAGCTGCTGGAAATGCTGAGATTTAACATATTTGTTAAAACTGCTTACATCAGATATCCTGCAGCCTTCCAATCTCTCCAAATATCCCATTTTCAACACATCATCTCCTGAGATACTTTGCACATCTGGATCGAGCTTAAGGCATTGGATGTAAGTGAATGTCTGGCACAGATCCTTGCATCCCTCTAAATCAAGGAATCTAAGTTCAACTAGCTGATTTATCCCACGCGGCACATCTTTCATTGACCAGCAAAAGCTAAAATCCAACTCCCTCAAGCTGGTAAGTTTCACTACTGACGGCACAAAATGCAAACGCTTGCAGAATTCAAGCAGAAGAGCTCTCAGGTTCATCAATTCTGAAATCGAGTCTGGTAGCCTCTTGATGCTGGTTTTGGACAAGTTAAGCACTTTGAGGGCCTTCATATGCACAAAGAAAGAATCTGGGAGTTTTGTAAATGGGTTTTGCTGGAGCAGTAAGGTAGTGAGGTCTGGGCACATGGGTATTGTTCCGGGTTGAATTTCTGACAAAGAATTGTGCACTAAGGAAGCCTTGTCAAGATCTATTGTCCATCGTCGGCCACTAGGTATTCTTCTCAGCTCTGCACCCGCTGCAATCATGTATCGTGGCTTAATATTGGTGATTCGAATTGCCATGTCTCTGATGAAATTCTGCATCTTCACACATCTGTTATCATACCTCTCCAGTAAACATGCATTTTCGAGTTTATTGAGCATGCTGTGTCCTTTATCAAATTGCTTTTGCCAGCTATCTATCTTATCCAGAAGGCCTTCAGAACGGAAAAGCACAATCAGTTCATCTCGTACAATTTCACCATATTTAGGATACAATGCACATAATAGGAAACATTCCTTCAGCCTTTGGTCTTTCAAACGATCATAACTAAGCTTCAAAACTGGGAAAATCTCTGTTTCTATGTCAAATTGTCCTTCACTTGAGTTTTGCAACTCCTCTAAAGTATTACGCCACTCTTGTATGTCGTCTACTTCTTGCATGCTTCCAGCCATGACAATCAAACCAAGAGGCAAACCAGCACATTCAGCAGCAACTAGCTCTGCAAGCTCATTTATTTCTGATAGCATATATATGATCTCTTCTTCCAAGTACCTTCCTAAATAGCTCCCAAGTTTTTTCCTTTGATAGCGGCTCCACCTTGACAGTTTCCTGACATTTCATCCTTCTGCACACATCCAAAGACCGTGTTGTCAGGATCAATTTGCAACTATTCTCATCTCTGATGGGAACCCCCACATCCTCTAGAGAAAAATGTTCCCTCACATCATCCAGGAAAAGAAAAACACTATTTCTCTGCTTTAACTCATAAGATA